AGTCGGAATCTGTACAACGGCCTAACTTCCGACCAGAAATGGCCGGAAGTTCACCAATCTGGCCTTTTCCGGCCAGATTCGTGGGAAAAGGCCAGATCTGGCCGTCAGCAATGGCCAAAGAAATGGCCGTCGTTGACCGAAAACGACAGCCACATCTTTGGCCGTCGCTGACGGTCAAAGATGGTCATCGTTTGACCTTTTCCGAAAGTCGACGGCCATAACAGACCATAGATCTAGCCTTTTCCGGCCAGATCCGTGGTGGATCTAGTCGGAAAAGGCCATAACGACATGTTAAGGCACAGATCCAACCGGTCTGTACCGTAACAAAATTTTCTAGCCAGATTCTGACAGTGGTGGCCGGAATCTGGCATTGCAGGTGGTGGGGATGTTTTTGTCATTTTATATATTAGGGTCTTTAATTAAATTAGTAAACCTAAGGGTTTTTTCATAAATTTTTAAAATTTATCTCATAATACTCCCCTATCCAACAACCCAATACTATCCCTAAAATCCTATCTAAAATACTAAACCAATTACTCTTATAAAAATAATAATAACGCGTAGAGCGATTAGAGAGTATGAAAAAAAATGAAAAGGCGGTGAAGTAGTGGTAAGCGTGTCATGTGAGTGGCTTGTTCAGCTGTCACTCTACACATTCACGTGGGTCATATTTGGTTTTGAAAAAGAAATCCTATAAAACATTTTTAATCCCACGCGCTTTTCTACGCTCCGATCCCAAAGGAATCTTTTGTGCCTTCCTTTCCTTGTCAGGCAGACCCAAGTGATTTAACTAGCTATTCTTTCCTTTCTCTATCATCTCATCTCACGTCTTTTATAATAGCCGAATCTTTGTCGTTTTCTTTTTATAATTTCTTGAACAAGTCTTGTGCAATTTCTTCGAGTCATGATTAAAGATTTTTATTAATTAAAATGTTATTTTATGACTTTTATATTAGTTTAATTATTATTTATACTCAAATTTATCTCTTATAAACCATTTTTTCAGTAACCTATCTATTTGATATTAATTTTAATCAAAGTTTTCAAAATTATCAACAATTTTTTTTAGTTTTATAATCACTTAATAAAGGCTTTTAATTTTTAATTATTTTCACTTTCACTTTCTCTTTTTAATTTTTATACTTAATTTTGAATTATTTTCAGTTTTCCTTTTTTCACATTTTAAGGGTTTTCAGTTATGTTTCTTTAAATTCAATGGCTTCTTATAATAATTAATGTCTCATATTTTCATAAATATTATAGTAATTAAATAATTTTTCTATTGATTACTTATTGTTTTATTATACAATGATGAATATTATAATCTAATTGATTTCGACTTAATTTCAATGTAATTTCCTTGTCGAGCTTTATACGTTAGAGAAAGGTCATAGACAACTGTAACGGAGTGTCATATCTCTTGCTTTATTTCCTTGTATATAAGTTGAGGTTAGCTTATGAAATTCAAATTATGTCACAAACATATTATTTAAATGCAAAATTTTGTAAATTACAAAAAAAATTACCTTAACAATCATTTAATTAAATGAATGATTTAATTTACCTTAGGAACATTCATAGAGCATAAATAGATAAATTGTTATTAGGGTAAACTTAATGTTTTCTTTTTAAGTAAGTTTAACAACAGAAAAAAAAAAAATTATTAATTCATCCCTTGATTGGGAGGTTCAATTCCTACCAAAGGTGTATTAATTTTGAAATAACCCCTAATTGTTCTTGCTCTCATAGTTGGTCTAAAGTGAACGAAAACTTGGTGATAGAAAAGACAGGGTCATCCCACTTGCTAAAGGAAAGAAAAAGACCTCGTATTGTGCAACGTCGTGTTAAATTATTCATGGGATTTAAACTTGAGGCAGACATGGTGGGTCAGTAATTCCACTTGCAATTGAAATAAAAAAATTTATAATAAAAAAAATTGGACTTTGCAAGATCACTTTAAATTATTTCGATCAATTAGTTAGCTTTTCTAACAAAAAAAAATAATAATAATAAAAAGAAGATTAAAGACTAGCAAAATATCAACTAGTTGTGATTAAATTTACTGCAACGTGTTTGATGTAGGATGAATTTTGAGAAAGTATCTTCAATCCACCCAAAATAATTGAGTTTTTTTTTTTTTCATTTTTTTTTAAAAGAGAGGTTTACTTTCTTAACTTATGGCATTCAAAAATGATTTGTGCTTATATAATTATTTTATTAATTCTAATTTCTATAATGTCAAACTTTTATTTACAGGATATATGTAACTATAAAATTAAGAAACAATAAAAATTTTGTTTATTAACATATAACGTTAGAGTATACCAACTCAAATTAGATTTAATAGTATAGTATTTAATAGTTTAATTAAAATGTACTAGACCATGTTAAATAACAATAGACTAAATAGTCTAGCATTTTTAAAAGACAACATATTCTGATTATTTTTGTTCTTGACTAAGAAGACTAAGTATTGAGAAATTAAAATTTTAAAATTGTTTATGAGAATTAATAATGTTGAATATTATATAGTAAATAATCTACTGCAGTTAGTTATTAAAAAAAGGAAATAATTCTAATAGATTATGAATTTTAATAATATATAATAAGTAAACTTTTTATCCATTGAACACGCTATCAACGTTTATAAAATTTGATAATTAAAAAGAAAATACAATATCTGAAGACCTTGACCTTTTTGCACATTGAACACTTCAAATTATTGAGAGCACTGGTTTCTTGGCAGCTCCTGAATTCTATCGTCTTTTTAATTCAGCAAGGAAATGGCAAACATGGTGGGTCATTGAAATTATAAATTTGTTTGTCTTCTTCTTTTTCTTCTGTCAGAAAGAAATTCATTGCTGTCCCCACCCTAATTTCGTCCATCTTTGAATAAAAGCAGATCAGTCTTTATTATCTGCTTTTATCATTCAAATAAACTCACATCATTGAAAAGATTTATCACACGTTAATATAAATTTACAATTTAACTCGGATTTAATGCTTCAGTGCATTTAATGAGACAATACTGCACTAAATATAAACTAATATTGTCTTTTGTTTTTAATATGTTCAGAATATTGAATTAAACTTAAAACTTGTACCAAATAATAATTAAGAACTTTAATTAGAAATTAAAAAGGTAAAGATAAAAACAATATGAGATGTCGTTATAATAATACTACACCAACAATTATTTTTCATAAACTTTTTCTCACAATTCTGACATGGTAGCTCACAATTAATCAGTTCACAATGAGTCCTATATAGGTCCCACTAATTAATTACAAGTTAACCAATTGTGAACTGCCACGTCAGGGTTGTGAGAGAAAGTTTGTGAAGAAGAGTTGTTGGTGTATTATTATTCGATGTTGTTATTAGATAATAAGAAGAATCATTTTACTTTTCATTTTGAATTATGGTTTGACAACATTATAGGGGTAAGCATAGGTAGTAGGTAGAACCGGAACCGAAACCAGATCCTGGGATGGGAACCAATGGTGGGTTCTTGAGATGGAACTTTCTTGGAACCGAAGACGGGTACCCAGGATAGAACCTGCTTGGAACCGAAGGTGGGTACTCGGGATGGAACCTGGACTAAAAAAATAATTTTGGCTATTAAATGACCATAATACCCCTTGTCTATTTGATTAGCAATTAAACAGTGAAAGGTGTTCTCCGAATTCTTACATCCACACAATATTTCTGATAATTTTGATAGCTTCCTCTACATTGCCTAGAAGTCAAGTATGTGTACAGCTTATTATGAGTCATTTCTATCACAGTTTCCTAAATATCTTGTATATGAAAAGACAACAGTGTCCCTTGACAACTTCACTGACATTGAAATAGCAAAGATGCTCTACAGATATCCTCAATCCACACCATTAAAGTCATGATTATTTGATGCACGGTGAATTTGAGAGGTATCTTCAATCCACCCAAAATAATTGGAGTTTTTATTTTTCATTTTTTTGAAAAAAAGAGAGATTTATTTTCTTAACTTATATAATCATTTTATTAATTCTAATCTCTAATAATTTCAAACTTTTTATTTATAGGATATATGTAAGTATAAAATTATGTTAAATACTATTTATAACATTAAGAAACAATAAAAATTTTGTTATTACAGTATAACCGCAGACTATACCAAGTCATACTAGATTTAATGGTCTAGTACTTTTTAGATAGATCAAATATTAATTATTTCTATATGTAACATTAATTTTATTAACTTCTTTTTACTTTTTGGAGACATTGTGGGTCATCCATTCATAAAAAGCATATCAGTATTTCAAGTTTTCACGCCCATTTCAAATTGCATTTTCTCTCACATCTTCCTCAACTCAGTTTTATGTGTAGATCACTTTATATTATTTCAATCAATTAGTTAGCTTTTCCGGCAAAAGATAAAAATAAAAAAATAAATACAAGATTAAAGATAAACTAGTTATGCTTAAATTTACTACATTTGATGAACGATAAATTTTGAGAATGTATCTTCAATCCACCCAAAATAATTAAGTTTTTATTCTTTATTTTTTTTAAAAAGAAAGATTTACTTTCTTAATTTATAGCATTTAAAAATGATTTGTATCTATATTAGAAATAATTCTAATAGATTATTATGAATTTTAGTCATGTAGTAAATAATGTTAGTTATTGAAAAAATGAAATAATTCTAAATTTCTAATAGATTATTATGAATTTTAATAATATATAATAAGTAAACTTTTTATCCATTAAACACGCTATCAACATTCATAAAATTTGATAATTAAAAAGAAAATACAATATCTCAAGACCTTGACCCTTATGCACATTGAACACTTACAATATAAAGTACTGCTGTAGTTTCTTGGCAGCTCCTGAAATTTGTGGTCTCTTTAATTCAGCAAGGTAATGGCAAACGTGGTGGGTCATTGAAATTATAAAGTTGTTTGTCTTCTTCTTTTTCTTCTGTCAAAAAGAAAATCATTACTGTCCCACTACGTCTGCACCATAATTTCGTCCAAAGCAATTTTACTCAGTTATCTTTGAATCATATCGTCTAATGATAAAAGCATATCAGTCTTTTAAGTTTTCACGCGCATTTCAAATTACATTATCTCTCTCATCTTCCTCAACTCAGTTTTATGTGCAAGGATTTACAAAAGCATAAAGTTTTCACACGCATTTCAAATTACATTATCTCTCTCATCTTCCTCAACTTAATGTGCAAAGATTTCCGGATACCAGAGGAGTTTCATTTGTAGGAGAACACCAATCAGTATGATGTTTCAACTTCAGCTTCTCTTTTGATTTTAGCTAGTTTAATTAACTTCTTCTCTATTATTATTTACTTGCTAACGTCTTTATGAATTTAAAGTTTGTAAGGATCTGATCGAAGATCTCAATTACACTTTATTCTGAGTGTGAAATTTTACTTCAGATTCTCTTACTTAGAAGGTATCAATCACAATCTTTTATACTGACTTTAGATATACATCCTACTTTATAAAGCTGAATTTACGAATTGTGACTGCAGATTCTCAAGCTCAAATAACATCATCATAGTTGGGTATGATACTTATCATCTTTGAACTTTATTATTATACCACTACATAATTTTTCATTAAAAAGTTAAAGAAATATTACAAAAATTAATTTGTTTTGAGCATCATTATTTCATCTTTGAACTTCATTGACTTGGTTGAAGTTTATTTAGAATGTGTGGTCAACGACAACGACCATATTTTTTGTCGTAGATCTGATCGTTTTCTGCCAGATCCATGAAAGATTTGGTTGGAAACGGACAGATTGGTGAAAGATCGACCAGATCTGGCCAATCGTACGTCGTTCTGGCATCAACGACGGTTGTTGGCGACAGTTGCTTGCTGGCAACTGTTGCTTGCGTGGGTGAGAGTGTTTTTGTTAATTTATAAACTTTTATTGAGAAATATAATCGTTAAGTGTTCTGAGTTGAATAGAATAAGATTGAATTTTTAACAATATTAAAACAAACATGTTTTTTATTTTTAGGATATGATAGTAGAATAAAATAAAGTTGGAAAAATAAAAAAATAAATACAAAATTAAAGATAAACTAGTCATGATTAAATTTACTACAAAGTGTTTGATGTAGGATGAATTTTGAGAAAGTATCTTCAATCCACCCAAAATAATTTGTATCTATATTAGAAATAATTCTAATAGATTATTATGAATTTTAATAATATATAATAAGTAAACTTTTTATCCATTGAACACGCTATCAACATTCATAAAATTTGATAATTAAAAAGAAAATGATAATTAAAAAGAAAATACAATATCTAAAGACCTTGACCCTTTTGCATATTGAACACTTAAAATTATTGAGAGAGGAAAACATATAGTGCAGTAGTTGCTTGGCAGCTCCTGAATTTTGTCGTCTCTTTGATGCAGCGAGGAAATGGCAAACATGGTGGGTCATTGAAATTATAAGATAAAAGAAGCAGGAGCAAAAATAATGCTCTTGTTTCATCATTTGTGTACCAAAATATCTTTTGAGATGGATAAAATTTTAATTAATTCTATATGTAACATTAATTTATCATCATTTTATTTTCAAAAAATATGTGTAAAGTATACAAAATCCTATCTAATATAACTTATATTACTATTATGAAATTATCATCATTTTTATTTTCAAGATTTATGCGTAAAAGTCAAAAGCCAAAAAATTTAAAGATATATTATATAATTTTTGAAAATTAATAACGTTTAACAACTGGTACAAATAATTTGTGAATTGTCTTGGTGATTGTCAGCACCGAAAGTTGTTTGTCTTCTTCTGTCAAAAAGAAATTCATTGTTGTCCCACTATATCTCCACCGTAATTTCGTCCAAAGCAATTGCCAATTTTACTTAATTATCTTTGAGCAGTATCGTCCAATGATAAAAGCAGATTAGTCTTGTTAAGTTTTCCCGCGCATTTCAAGTTACATTTTCTCTAATATCTTTCTCAACTCAGTTTTATATGCAAAGATTTACAGATTCCAGAGGTGTTTCATTTCCAGGAGAGCACTAATCGGTATGATGTTTCAACTTTAGCTTCTTTTTTGGTTTTAGTTGGTTTAATTAACTTCTTCTTTGTTATTATTTACTTGCAAGGATTTGATTGAAGACATATACAAGGTAAGTTTTTATATAATTATTTATTGTTTATCTTTATTATTTTTTGCTTTTAGTTGGTTTTGATGTACTAATTAATATCTGTGAGCTATAGTCAAGTCAACTAAAGTCTCCTTAGTGTTGGAGAATTATATTGGTTTATAGAAGAAGATAAAGATAATTTCCTGCTCGTTTTGGTTTTAATCAAAATTATTGGTCTTTTACTTTGAATAAATTCATTCAATTTGCTTTTTTCTAACTAAAACAGACAAGATTTGAGATACACTTCATTCTGTGTGTGGAATTTCACTTCAAATTCTAAGGTATCAATCATAAACTTTTATACTAGCTTTAGATATATATCCTACTTCATAAAGCTGGACTTTGTAAATTGTGATCACAAATTCTCAAGCTCAAATAGCATCATCATAGTTGAATATGATAATTATCATCTTCGAACTTCATTATTATACCACTACAAAAATTTTCATTAAAAAGTTAAAGAAAAACTATAAAAAATTAATTTGTTTTTAACTTCATTATTTCATCTTTGAACTTCATTGGCTTGGTTGAAGTTTATTTAGAATGTATGGTCAACGACTAGATTTTTGGCCGTAGATCTGGCCAAAAATGGATAGATCAGTGCACGATTAGCCTATCATGTGTCGTTCCAACGCTGGCAGCCAAGGTGGCAGCGGCGGCTACTAGCGGTGGTTGCTGGCAGGCGACTGTTGCTTGGGTGGGTGGATGGGGGTGTTTTTGTTAATTTATAAACTTTTATTGAAAAAAGTAATTGTTAAATGTTTTGAATTGAATAGAATGTGATTGAATTATGAACAATATTAAAACAAACATGTTTTTCATTTTTAGGATAGGATAGTAGAATAGAATAGGTTTGGAAAAGTTAAACAAACTGTGGCTAAATATTATTTCAAAATTTATATTGAAGAGAGTGAAAAAATGAAGAAGTTTTTTAGTAAGTTTAATCACACAGTTTGTCTCACTTGATACATGGACAAGTTGTTAGAATTTCAATTATTTGAGTCTTATAGCTTATTTCATGGATGAGGATTGGCAATTACATAAAAGGATTTTAAATTTTTGTCCTATAAGTAGTCATAAAGGTATAATCATTAGGAAGAGAGTTGAGAGGTGCTTACTTGATTGGGGTATTTCTAAAGTTTTCACAATAATGGTCAACAATGCAAGTTCTGATGATATGGGAATAAGCTATCTTAGGAGTCAGTTAGCAAGTTGGCAGGGAAATGTCTTGGGTATAGATACTAACTTTTATGTTAATTGTGATTGTGACCATACATTCTCAAGCTCAAATAGCATCATCAGCAGTTGGTATGATTACTTATTATTTTTCAATTTCATTATTATACATTATCTATAAATTTTGTAAACTTTACTATAAATGATCTAGATTGTTAGTTTAAACCAAAGGATCCTTAGAAACATTCAGAGAATATAAATAGATAAATTGTTATTAGGGTGAACTTAACATTTTCTTTTTTGGCAAGTTTAACAGCAGCAAAAATTATTAATTCATCCTTAGATTGGGAGGTTCAATTCCTACCACAGATGTATTAATTTTCATTTAACCCCTAATTGTTCTTGCTCTCATAGTTAGTCTAAAGATAATGAAAACTTCGCAACAGACAAGGTGGGTCATCCCAGTTGCTAAAGGAAAGAAAAAGAGCTCGTATTTTTTCACCTTTAGACTAATTACTACCTGTAAAGAATTTGGGTTGGCAACGTCATTTTAATTTCTTGTTTAATCTTCTTAAAAAATGTAAATACCCATAAAATTGAATGCTTGTTTTCTTTATTATCTTTATTCATTTCCAATATTAACTTGTTTTATTTATTTTGTTATTAATGCTTTTGTGGCTCCATAATACCGTCACTTATATTTTACTTAATTATCTTTTTCTCATTTGATAGGTCAAGTCTTTGGACACATTGTGGGTCATCCATTGATAAAAGTAGAGAGGTGATTGTGCAAAGATTTATAGATACCAGAGAAGTTACATTTCCAGGAGAACACCAATCGGTATGATGTTTCAATTCCAGCTTCTCTTCTGGTTTTAGTTGGTTTCTTTATTATTATTACTTGCTAACTTCTTTATGAACTTAAAGTTTGCAAGGATCTGATCGAAGATCTCAAATACACTTCATTCTGAGTGTGGAATTTTACTTCAGATTCTCTTACTTGGAAGGTATCAATCACAGACTTTTATACTGGCTTTAGATATATATCCTATTTCATAAAGCTAAACTTTGTGAATTGTGACCACAGATTCTCAAGCTCAAATAGCGTCATCACAGTTGGGTATGACACTTATCATCTTTAAACTTCATTATTATACCACTACAAATTATTTCATTAAAAAGTAAAAAAAAGACTACAAAAATTAATGTTTTGAACTTCATTGGCTTAGCTTAAGTTTATTTAGAATTGTGGTTAGTGGCCACATGTTTAAATTAATGGGTTAAAGAGGACAAATTTTTTTTGCTTAGAATAATATTGCATATAGGTTGTCACCATCATTCCAAGTATAGGGCTGAAATTTCGTTTTCTTATTACATTTGCATAATTTAAGTCAGTTTATGCTAAGAATAGAGAAAAACTTGTGAGCTAAGGTTTCTGGAAAAATGATTTTCGTTAAAATGTAAGAGAAGAGGTATAACAGCTTATATAGTTTGAGAAGAAGAGAGGTAACTGTTGACTTTGTTGTCTCCTAGTTTTAGCTTATAACTCTTAACAATTTATGGTATTTGACTAATTAGTAGCCATTGTTAGGATATCTTACTCGGGGTTGTGAGCTATTAATCCTATGAAGAGGATAATATCTTCCAGTTTAATCGAGTATGATTACATAAAATATTTAAAGTTCGTCATTTGTTGTTTAACTATTTATTTTTATTGTTTCACTTGCAGAATGCAGGTCATAATAGTCTCTCACAGTGTGTAGTTTTCTATTGTGTCAAGATATCTTTTAGTAGAAAAAAGGTATAGGAAATGTCCTTTTTTCTTTTGTGCTTTTGACATGGATGTAGCTTAACGGAGAGGACCTAATTTAAAACTTTTGCTTTAGAGCATCATCATGAAACCAAAATTTATCATATAGTTTAATATGTTAATCTTAAAATTAAAAGAAAATGTCTTAACGAAGGTGAACCTCTTGAGCCATGGCTAACTTTATATAAGTTAAAAAATATAGTTAAATCTCAATAAATTATACTTGATAAATTGATAACTTCAATTAAATAATACTTTTGACTGGTCCTGACATAGGATTATAAGATAATACATTAAAACACACACACACACACACACACACACACACACACACACACATAGAGATACTACCTAATATATAAATTAATAATCTCCTTATACATCAAAATTATATATATGCATGACTCAATTAAGAGGCATTTTATAAAACAAGTCAAATGTTACTTGTTTCCTCTTGAAATTGATGTCTTCTTGGATCTCATCTCTAACTTTCCTTAGTGCATTAAGAACCACTAATGTAGTATTTTCGTATTGCAAGAGAAAATTACAATGTGATTGTTTCTTTAAGTGCATTAATTATGAACTATTCCCTATATCACATTAACTATACACAATATGTACATGCATTTAAGTTCAATGTTTTGAAAAAAGAAAATAAAGAATGCCCAATAAATTAATAATTTATTAATTTATACCATTACTTAATATATTGATTTATTAATATATTTTTATGGTCCCAATGATATTAAATTATTGAGGTTAAACTATGTATGTATATATATCTTATGTTATTTAGAAATAAAATTTTTTAATATTAGTAAGGTTAGATATGATTTTATTTCTTGGAGATAATTGAGCAAATATTAACCAAGGGACTTCAAGAATATTCACTAATACTTACAATCAAATGCATACTCTACTCTGAACTAACCTTGTTTGTTATCAAATAGGAACAAAATAATAATAAAAAATTTCCTTTTTTTTCATAATTAAATTATTTAAAGGAATGATCAGTAATGTTTCATAGTTTTTCCTCTTTTAATATTAATTTATATTTAATTACTTCACATCTTATTTATTTTCTTGTCTTACCTCTTTCAGATAAAGGTCTAATCAAAACCAGATACTTGCGCTTTGTTGGTAGTTAATCAAAGCTTAACATTTCACGAAAATATCATTGGTTTTTAAGCAAGGTATTTAAATTTTCTATTTTTTTTATTTTTAAATTTTATATAGCATAGAAAATAGTAACACGGCTGATTATTTGTTTATCTTATCTAAATAATAATTATTAATCCAAAATACGAATAGCACGGTATAAGGTTGCCATATTTCACTCGTTGAATATGATGGGATTTTTTATGCTAATTACCTAGCATTAATCTATTCCAAAAGAGCAAAATTAATCAAACCATACTCACAAGGATTTATTGTCGAACCCCCTCCTAGGTATTCCCTATCTCGTCGAATTTGGGCACTCTGAGGGACTCAAGATCCCAAGAGGAGGGTATTTTTTTTTTCAAAAATAATTTACTAGCTTCACTCATAAAAACTTTAATGACAATAGTGTAACACAAAACATAGTTTTGAAAACGTAAATCTTAGAAAACGGTTTACAGAACAAATGTATCAGAGTGCTTCTAATGTGTATAAACATCATGCTAATGATCATATGTCTATTAGCCAACCGAATGCGTATAGCAAGTGCCTCACATATACATTGTATGCAATCCTGGGGGAAAAACATAAAACAGTGAGTTAGGAAGCCCAATGAGTGGATAATATAATTTATAAATGAAAATAACTTTCAACCTTAAACCAGCATGAGCAAAACTTGCATTTCACATAACGCGTAATTATTCCCTTAACGAAACCACACTTTCCTTATATAATTTCCTTGATTCGTATCCATTCATGCCCATCAAGGAAATTCGCATCATTGTACAAACTTTCCAATTACCATGGATCATCGTATTATTTTCACGAAAACCGATACACCATCATCAAAGTTAAGTAGGCATTCCCCAACACGAAACCCACTCTTGCTCACGCCAATACTTGTCAAATGTCCACAATTTCCACCCAACTTATACCCGTTGAATATTTTTAAATTTCATCCCAGCCTATACTCTCTAAATGTTCACAAGTTCCACTCATTCAATTAATGCAACCATCACCACCACCACTAGCACACTAGTACGCAAGGTCCCGAATATATACAACCAACTAGCTGCTCAACTAGGCCAATACCCATCTAGTGTAACCCGTCAAATCCCTCCCAAGGTCTATCCTTTGGGTGTAATCTCGCTTGGAGCTCGTCAGGCGCCCAACCTGTCCCAATAGGATGGTATAGATCATCATCGTTTGGAAGTACGAGTCATCTCAATATGCGCATGAGGCTAATCATATCCCACCCAGGCCAATACCTGCCCAATAGTCTCATCAAATCCCACCCAAGCCAATACCCACTAGGTGTCATAATCCCACTCAGGCCAACATGCGCCTGGTGTAATCCCGCTTGGAGCTAGTCAGACGTCTGTACTGTCCCGATAGGATGCTAAATATAAATACTAACTGATATTTGGAGGGGGACGGTACTAAAGGTGGTTATAGTCCGCATAACACTTCCACAATCCCACCTTCAAACTTCCCAACCTGCCTTCATGCAAGTGTTCGAATATGAGTGGCATATGTTTCTTAATAAAACCATCATGTAAATACGAGTATAATTTTCCAAAGCATACCACCTTATAAAATATCAATTTACACCTCATATTTGTCCCACTTTTAGTTAGTCCCAAGGGTTTCAAACATCACAATTAGCCCCCTGCCTGTACTCCAATAATCGTAAAACTGACAATCTGCCCCCTTAGGAATCCTTCCACCAATAGTAACCCAAAGCAAAGAAATTTGGGTCTGATGCCCATCAAATATAAACAAACCCAATACTAATTTAATAAATCTTTTCACAATTAGATACCAACCCAAAACACCCATTACTCACGACTTCTTAAATTTGGGCCAAGCCGATCTCCTTTTATAAGCTCATCCATACTTCAATCTATCAAAGTTTAATAAACCAACTACCATGATCTTGATTAAACAACACTAAGCCAATTCATCAACATAATCCACAACCTCCTAAAGCAATCCATACCATTTTCATTTATTTAATATCCAACACTCCCAATTGTAAATCAAGCAAACCAGTCCCACCAACTGGCTGCATTTGTTTCCAATCACAATCAATTCCAAATCAAGCTCATTATACAATATCCAAAATATATAACACATAAATTCATCATTAAGTTGCAAACATAAAATCTACAAGTCTACTAAAGTACCCACCAAGCAAGAATGCATTTTTTTGTTTTCATCACCAAAACACACATCAAACGCCACAGTAAGCTTCCACGCATTATATACAACAGAAAATCAAACTTTTAGCAAGGAAATTTTCGTTGATCCACTCACCTTCTGAAGCTAAATTCTTGATCCGAAGAAGGGATCAGAATCCTCTAACGATGTCTGTGCTTGTCTTCCTTTATCCGAAATCCAATGACCTCTCCATGCAAAGGTCTCCCTATGGTAACACTTCAACATTAAATTCATTGGACATCTTAAACACCAAAAGATTAACTTAACAGCCTTTATCAAAAACTGTCTCATAACAGAACATTGATCACTCTAGGATCTTTCATAAAAATTCTATTCATCAATTTAAGCCATAATTTTAATAGGGCATTCAAGACACACATATGAGGTTCCAGTATATTATCCAAGTCATTCTAGAGTCGATAACCATTTAAAACAGAATTTTCTTTCAACCTTTTCAAAACTGCCAACTGCTTCCAGAATTGATGTTATTGACTTGTAAAATTTACAACAATTTAACTTTTAATCCAAACCTTACACAAACCTCCAGAATTAAACTAGACACCTACAGGATTTAGAGAATTTAAAATCATCAAATTTAAAAAGGAATAGATGCATCAAATCATCTACTAAAATACTCATTCTGCAGAAACCCAAATTCCAGAATTGCAGGGCAAACTTCAAAAATCCATAAAAAATCCAATAATTCGAGTTTTTAAGTGAAACAAATCTCTAAACACTCCTCAAGAAGTCTACAACAACGTATCCAAAATAACATTATTGTAATTAATCTTCCCTTTTCAGTTTAATATTATACCATGACCCTACAACATCAACTTTTCTTGCAAAATGCCCCCAACAAAAATTTAAAAACTCACATTTCCCCCTGGAAAACAAAATAAATTTTATAAAATAACCCATAAAATATGGGATATTACATCTATAGTGCTTTACTTTCTATATGAGAATTATGTTTACTTAACCACTACGAAATTTCACTATAGGGTCTCTCTAGCATTCCAAATTAAAACACTTATCTAGGCTAAAAATCATGTTTTCCCAAAGGTGTATTTGCTAAAGCTAATTTTCTTTTCTACAACAAACAAATAAAACAGTAGTAGCAACAAACAAATAATCATGAAATATTAGAAGTTTACCTGTTCACTAATCACAATTATGTTACACGGTTCAATGTTACAAAGAAAAAGTGTAAGATTAGTAGTAGGGTAGTATGATGTATTTTATTTTTTAACTTAAAAAAATAGCTTATTGAAGACATTTCCAGGAACTAGGAATATAATTATCTACCATAATGTTTTAAAAATGTTCAAAAAATAAAACAGTAAGTTACCTAAACTATTTCCGACAAGATTGATTTTACAAATTCATATCTCTAGCTAATTAGTTAATATTAGATATTCCTATAATTGCGTTATACTGATACACTTTCTAATTGATAACACAGATGTTGATAGATTTCGCAACATCTATTGTATCAAAGGTTGGAGAATACTTGGTGGAGCTGATCATAAACCAAGCTCATTATTTATTTCGTTTCAACAAAATTGTTGAAGATCTTATGGAAGCAGAACGAGACTTGAAATCGAAACAAGAGGATGTGGAGAAAGAAATCGAAGCTGCAGAAAGAAATGATGAAAGAATTAAGGCAACTGTACAAGATTGGTTGTCTGATTCGAGAAAAATCATGGGAGAAGTTGAGACGTTGAAAGGAAAAATAGAAGCTAATAAGACTTGTCTTAATGGGTGGTGTCCTAATTGGGGCTCTCGACATCAGCTGGGGAGGAAAGCAACAAAGACAAGCATTCGTTTGAAGAAGGTAATTGTAGATGGAGGCCAAATTGAAAGTGTGGGGCGTCGTGCACCTCTATCAGGTGAACCTTCAGCACCTAAAGATTTTGAATTTTGCCGGTCTACGAAGGCTGCTTTTGATGAGATTATGAGGGACTTAAAAATGATGGCACCCATATGGTTATATTGTATGGGATGGGCGGTGTGGGTAAAACAACTTTAGCAAGAGAAGTGCGTAAAACGGTCGAAGAAAAGGGCATCTTTAAGGAGGTTGTGATGGCTACTGTATCCCAAACTCCAAACTTCAGAAATATTCAAGGTCAGCTGGCTGACTTCCTAGGTTTGAAATTTACGGAGGAAACTGAACAGGGAAGAGCTGAGAGGTTGTCTTCAAGATTGTCAAATTCTAATAATAGCCTTATAATCCTCGATGATGTTTGGGAAGAATTCGATTTCAAGAAAAAAATAGGTATTCCATTGAGCAAAGATTGCAAAATGCTTCTGACAACCCGCTACAAAAACGTATGCGCTTATAGGGAGTATCAATCGTTAATTCCTCTAAATGTTTTAGAGGAAGACGAAGGAGTGACTTTACTCAAAAGGCAAGCAGGTATAGATGATGACTCTGTCAGCTTGAATACTTTGGCTACTGAAATTGCTAAAGAATGTGATGGTTTGCCTTTAGCACTTGTAACCATTGGAAGTCACTTGAGAGGAAAGAAGGATACTGAAACATGGGAATTTGTGTGTGAAAGAGTAAAAAAATCAAAACTGGAGGATATAAATCATGTTAATTGTACACAAAGCGGTGTCTATGCCATTCTTAAGTGGAGTTATGATTATTTGAAGACAGATGAAATTAAATTCTGTTTTTTGATGTGTTCACTATTTCCTGAGGATTTTGAAATTCCTTTGGAGGATTTGGTTAGAATAGGAGTGGGGTTAGATTTATATAAAGATGTTTCATCCATTGAAGAAGCAAGGAGGGCCCTACGTTCAATGGTTGAAACCCTGAAGGCTTTGAGTTTGCTATTAGAAGGTGCTTGTGGAAAAGAATTTGTGAGAATGCATGATATAGTTCGTGATGCTTGTCTATGGATAACATCAAAGGGGGAGAATATATTCATGAGCAAGATTGGCATGGATTTGATGCAGTTGACAAAGGAGAAAGGCTGGATACAATATACAGCAATCTCCTTGTTGGAAAACAAACTAAAAGAGCTCTCTGTTAGACTGGAATGTCCTAAGCTTAAAATATTGCTATTGGGTGGTGATAGGCAATCGTTATACTATAACTATGACAAGTCCAAGTTGTTGAAAGTTTCAGATGAATGTTTCGAAGAGATGAAAGCACTAGAAGTTGTAAGTTTAAGATATGCAGACCTTTCACTAAAATCACTTCAATTCTTGACAAATCTCAAGACTCTAGAGTTGTCTGATTGTAATTTGAGAGACATTTCTTTCCTTGCCAAGCTGAACAAACTTGAGATTCTTAGCTTTGGAGATTCTTGTTTTGACGAATTACCAATAGAATTGAGTGAACTTAAGGAACTAAGAATGTTGGATTTACGTGGGTGCTCTGAGCTAAGAAGAATTCCTTCCAATTTGATACGAAGCTTTTCTCAATTAGAAGAATTATACATGGAGAAGGACATCTTTGAAGAAAGGGAGGTTTAAGAGAAGAGTATAGAAACAGGCAATGCTAGGCTTTCAGAGGTAAATGATCTACCTTGCTTGGCTGTTCTGTATTTGAAAATAAATTCAAAATGCCTTCCAAAAGACTTTGCTTTCTCCAAACTTTCAAGGTATCAAATTTGTGTGAACGAAAGTACTCTTGGATATTTAGAATCATCAAAAGCTTTAATAATTGCTTGTATTGATGCAACCTTACTGACTGCATTATTTAAAGCACTATATCATAGCGTAGAACATCTTAGTTTGACAAGAGTAACAGGTTGTCAAAATATCCTCCCAAGCATTGACCAAAAGGGATTGAAGAAGTTGAATACTCTTGCGGTTACACATTGTGAACACTTGAAATGCGTGATAGATGCATCGCAACTGGGGGAAGAAAATTCTGAGTTGCATCCAAGTTTAGCAAGGTTAGTGCTGTCATTCTTACCAGAATTGCAGTGTATATGGAAGGGGCCCATGTCCATTCATATGGTAAACTTCCAAAGTCTTACGGATGTTTATGTGGGATTCTGCAAAAGCTTGGCTTATCTTTTCACTTTATCAATTACCCAGAGTTTGGGGCAGTTGAAGTCACTCAGTGTTATAGGTTGTGAGAATTTGGAGTTCCTGATCAAGATAGAAGAGGATGATAATGGCAGGGGAGAGAAAATGTTGTCGAAATTAGAAGATCTCCAAATTGAAAGATGCAAGAGATTGGAATATGTTTTTCCAGTGTTTGTTGCAGCAGGTCTTATACAACTTAAAAATCTTGAAATAGAAGATGCAGCAGAGTTGAAGCAAGTATTTCATGGAAAAGAAGAAAATGAAGTTGCAGAGGAAGGAAAGGACATCAAGTTGCCTAATTTAAAATAGTAACACGGCTGATTATTTGTTTATCTTATCTAAATAATAATTATTAATCCAAAATACAAATAACACGGTATAAGGTTGCCATATTTCACTCGTTGAATATGATAGGATTTTTTTATGCTAATTACCTAGCATTAATCTATTCTAAAAGAGCAAAATTAATCAAACCATACTCACAAGGATTTATTGTCGCACCCCCTCCTAGGTATTCCCTATCTCGTCGAATTCGGGCACTCTGAGGGACTCAAGATCCCAAGAGGAGGGTATTTTTTTTTTTCAAAAATAATTTACTAGCTCCACTCATAAAAACTTTAATGACAATAGTGTAACACGAAACATGGTTTTAAAAACGTAAATCTTAGAAAACAGTTTACAGAGCAAATGTATCAGAGTGCTTCTAATGTGTATAAACATCATGCTAATGAACATATGTCTATTAGCCAACCGAATGCGTATAGCAAGCGCCTCACATATACACTGTATGCAATTCTGGGGGAAAAACATAAAACAGTGAGTTAGGAAGCCCAATGAGTGGATAATACAATTTATAAATGAAAATAACTTTCAACCTTAAACCAGCATGAGCAAAACTTTCATTTCACATAACGCGTAACTATTCCCTTAACGAAACCACACTTTCCTTATACAATTTCCTTGATTCGTATCCACTCATGCCCATCAAGGAAATTCGCATCATTGTACAAACTTTCCAATTACCATGGATCATCGTATTATTTTCACGAAAACCGATACACCATCATCAAAGTTAAGTAGGCATTCTCCAACACAAAACCCACTCTTGCTCACGCCAATACCTGTCAAATGTCCACAATTTCCACCCAACTTATACCCGTTGAATATTTATAAATTTCATCCCTGCCTATACTCGCTAGATGTTCACAAGTTCCACTCATTCAATTAATGCAACAATCACCACCACCATTACCACACTAGTACGCAAGGTCCCGAATATATACAACCAACTAGCTGCCCAACTAGGCCAATACCCGTCGAGTGTAACCCGTAAAATCCCTCCCAAGGTCTATCCTTCAGGTGTAATCACGCCTGGAGCTAGTTAGGCGCCCAACCTGTCTCGATAGGATGGTATAGATCATCATCGTTTGGAAGTACGAGTCATCTCAATATGCACATGAGGCTAATCATATCCCACCCAGGCCAATACCTGCCCAATAGTCTCATCAAATCTCGCCCAAGCTAATACCCACTAGGTGTCATAATCCCACTCAGGCCAACATGCGCTTGGTGTAATCCTGCTTGGAGCTAGTCAGATGTTTGTACTGTCCCGATAGGATGCTAAATATAAATACTAACTGATGTTTGGAGGGGGATGGTACTAAAGGTGGTTACAGTCTGCATAACACTTCCACAATCCCACCTTCGAACTTCCCAACCTGCCTTCATGCAAGTGTTCGAATATGAGTGGCATATATTTCTTAATAAAACCATCATGTAAATACGAGTATAATTTCCCGAAGTATACCAACTTATAAAATATCAATATACAAATCATATTTGATCCTTAATTTAGTCCCGAAGGTTTTAAACATCACAATTAGCCCCCTGCTTGACTGCTTGTACTTCATTAATCGTAAAACTGACAATCTGCCCCCTTAGGAATCCTTCCACCAATAGTAACCCAAAGCAAAGAAATTTGGGCCTGATGCCCCCCAAATATAAACAAACCCAATACTAATTTAATATATCTTTTCACAATTATAAACCAACCCAAAACACCCATTACTCACGACTTCATAAATTTGGGCCTAGCCTATCTCTTTTTATAAGCTCATCCATACTTCAATCTATCAAAGTTTAAAAAACCAAACACCAAGATTTTATTCAATTTATTGAATTTTAACAACCCCGCATATCCACCAAGTTTACACTCCGACATCTACTTCTCCAACTCAACCCAAACCAAGAATTTCATTTCATCCCAACAATAACTCTTATTCCCACCAACATTACCCTTCAATTTCCTCATTCTCTATTCAAGAACAAACAAACCAGCCCTCCCCAAAATTTGGCTGGATTTTTCCATTTTAATAACCAATTACATATGCCATTTCTCACAATTTAATTTCCAATCATCCAAATTATGCAATTTCACACAAACACACATGCACGCCAAAAGCTCCCTTCCAATACATGATCCATAACCCATAATCATACATATCAAACACTTTATGCCAGAATACATATAACATTTTCATAAGCCAAAATATAACCAATAATCATGGTTCATGATCTTGATTAAACAACAGCTCCCAATTGTAAATTAAGCAAACCAGTCCCACCAATTGGTTGGATTTGTTTCCAATCACAATCAATTCCAAATCAAGCTCATTATACAGTATCCAAAATATATAAACACATAAATTCATCATTAAGTATTTAAGTTACAAACATAAATCTTCAAGTCTACTAAAGTACCCACCAGGCAAGAATTCATTTTTTTTTTTTTTTAATTTCACCAAAACACACATCAAACGCCACAGTAAGCTTCCACACATTACATATAACAGAAAATCAGACTTTTAGGAAGGAAATTTTGGTTGATCCACTCACCTTTTGAAGCTAAATTCTTGATTCGAAGAAGGGATCGGAATCCTCTAACATTGTCTGCACTTGTCTTCCTTTATTTGAAATCCAATGACCTCTCCATGCAAAGATCTCCCTATGGTAACACTTCAACATTAAATTCATTGGACAACTTAAACACCAAAAGATTAACTTAATATCCTTTAAAAAAAAATTCTCATAACCGAGCACTGATCACTATATGATTTTTCATAAAAATTCAACTCATCAATTTAAGCCATAATTTTAATGGGGAATTCAGGACACACATATGAAGTTCCAGCAAATTATCCAAGCCATTATAGAGTCAATAACTATTTAAAACAGAATTTCTTTCAACCTTTTCAAAACTGCCAACTGCATCTAGAATTGAGGTTACTAACTTGTAAAATTTATAACAATTTAACCTTTAATCGAAACCTTATGAAAACCTACAGAATTAAACTAGATACCTACAGGATTTATCAGAATTTAAAATCATCAAATTTGGATAAGAATAGATACATCAAATCATTTACTAAAATACTGGTTCTGCAGAAAACCCAAATTCCAGAATGGTAGGGCAAACTTAAAAAATCCATAGAAAATCCAATACTTAGTTTTTGAGTGAAACAAAATTCTAAACACTCCTCAAGAAGTCTACAACAACATATCCAAAATTCAGCCTCATTCAAACAGGTAAACAATTTTTGAAATTCCAGACAATCAGATTTTATACAGTAACCCTTGTATAAAAAATTACATCTTTAACCAATTTTCTGCTTAGGAATTATATGTATGTTCTATCCACATAACATTATAGTAATCAATCATACCTTTTCAGTTTAATCTCATACCATTGCACTTAATCATAAATAACACAAATCAAATTAATCAATAATCATCAAAGAGGGAAATTTTAAGCTTTACTCACCTCCCACATGCTTAATCCTCCTCTACTCCTTCCGGTCATAGGAGTTTGCTCACCGGCGGCCACTTTTCTAGCCACCTTCATTGCTCTCTACTCTTCTCTCTCTCTCTTCTCGGTTTCATCTTCTCTCCCTTCTTTTCTTTCTTTCTTTTCTCCTTTCCTTCTCTTCTTCCTTTTCTCTCTTTTCTTTCTTCTCTTCTTCCTCTCCTCTCTTTTCTTTCTTCTCTTCTTTCTCATTCTCTTATTCTTACCTGATTAGAACAACTCCAGATACAATGCGCATATATCCTTCTCACGCTCTCTCAAGTTGTTTACTCTTCCGTATGATCACTCCATTGAATTTCTATCCAAGGGACGCTCCTGGGGACCGTAGGTTATGGGCCCACTACGCTTTCTCTACGCCACTCTGATGTTCGCTTCACTTAGTTGGCAAAACAAATATCTGGAGCCAAACCCTATAATCTTTCTTTAATACATGGCCACCACATCTTGCCATTAAACTTTCCAATTTCCTCGCCATCGAAATACCTTCCAATCTGTATCCATCCACTCATGTATCCACCACAAAAGGCAGTTGCACCTGACATTCCTTCCGAAAGTACTTCCTAATAGTCACCGCTGAAATTAGACAAGATGGAGTTACTTGGTGCTTTCCACAAAATGTTGACTTTGGCATTCCTGACTTTCTAAAAAGTAACCTCCTTTGGTATGGTCTGGGCCTCTTGTTGGGTCATGGTGTATACTCGTGTCTAAATACAAGGCTGTCCCAATTCTCTCTGCCTTCCTCTATTGCCATGACCTGGACCCTTCTTTATGTTGGGACCTCTGTTGTCCCTTAACATGACTGGATAGCCCTCTGAAATACACTTCCACTTTGAGACAATTTGGGGCGCTCTCTCTCAATATGTCCAAATAGTCTGCATTGACAACAGACTGAAGTTGCACCCCAACACTACTCTTCATGGTACGTGCCACACTGTCACACAACATCCTCTGTTCCCTCTAGAGGCTCTATTGCTCTACTATTGGCCATTACATTTCCCTTGCCTCCCACTGGCCCTAGCCTGGCTACTGGATGTGCTAGAGAAATTACCTTCACACCTTCCCATACAGTTCTTCAGACCAGCAGTCCATCAATTTCTATTACCACGTTTCTGTCTACGATTTAACACATTTTTATATTGTCTAGGACGTCTCACAACATTTGTATGATACATTTCCTTTTCTACAGCAAACAAATAAAACATTAGTAGCAACAAACAAATAATCATGAAAAATTAGAAGTTTACATGTTCACTGATCACAATTACGTTACATGGTTCAATGTTACAAAGAAAAAAATGCAAGGTCAGTAGTAGCATTGTATGATGTATTTTACTTCTAAAATAAAAAAAATAAAAAAAGGCTTATTGAAGACTTTTCTAGGAACTGGGAATATATGTAGTGTTTTAAAATAAGTAATAAATTATTCAAAAACTAAAACAGATGTTATCTGAACTGTTTTAGACAAATTGATTTCAAGAATTTATCTCTCTATAATTGCATTTTACACTTGCTGATGAATTTTTTTTTTTGCTCATTTTATACTGATATAGTTTCTACTTGATGACAGATATATTGATGGAGATTGTAACTGCTATTGTATCAAAGGTTGGAGAATACCTGGTGGAGCCTTCCATAAACCAAGCTCGTTATATATTTCGTTTCAACAAAATTGTTAAAGATCTTTCGGAAGCAGAAAAACAAATGCAATCCGCAAAAGAAGACATCGAGAAACGTGTTGAAACAGCCAAAAAAAATGATGAAGAAATTTTTAAAACTGTGCAAGACTGGCAAGATGATACACGCAAAATCTTGGAAGAGGTTCAGATGTTGAATAAAGAAATAGAACACAATCAGTTGAAGACTTGTTTTAATGGGTGGTGTCCTAATTGGGGCTCTCGACATCAGTTGGGGAGGAAAGCAACAAAGACAAGCATTCAGTTGAAAGAAATTATAGATAGAGGCCAATTTGAAAGGGTGGGGTGTCGTGCTCTTCTATCAGGTGAACCTTCAGCACCTAAAGATTTTGAATGTTGCCGGTCTACGAAGGATGCTTTTGATAAGATTATGGAGGCACTTAAAAATGATGGCACCCATATGGTTATATTGTGTGGGATGGGCGGTGTGGGTAAAACAACTTTAGCAAAAGCAGTGAGTAAAAAGGTCACCGAAGAGAGCATCTTTAAGGAGGTTGTGATGGTTACTGTATCCCAAACTCCAAACCTCATAGATATTCAAGATCAACTGGCTGAACTCCTAAATTTGGAACTTACGGAGAAAACTGAAGAGGGAAGAGCTAAGAGATTGTCTTCAAGATTGTCAAAGTCTAATAATAACCTTATAATCCTGGATGATGTTTGGGAAGAAACCAATTTCGAGGAAAACATAGGCGTTCCATTGAGCAAAGGTTGCAAAATGCTTCTAACAACCCGTAACCAAAAAGTATACGGTCATAAGGAGTATCAATCATTAATTCCTCTAAATGTTTTAAAGGGGCACGAAGGAGTGGCTTTACTCAAAAGGCAAGCAGGTATAGATGATGACTGTGCCCACTTGGATTCTTTGGCTACTCAAATTGCTAGAGAATGTGATGGTTTGCCTTTAGCACTTGTAACCACCGGAAGGTACTTGAGAGGAAAGAAAGAAAATAAAACATGGGAAGTTGTATGTGAAAAGCTAAAAAAGTCAAAACTGGAGGATTTAGGTAATGTTGATAGTACAGAAAGAGGTGTCTATGCTAGTCTTAAGTTGAGTTATGATTATTTGAGGGGAGATAAAATTCGATTGTGTTTTTTGATGTGTTCACTATTTCCTGAGGATTTTAAAATTCCTTTGGAGGATTTGGTTAGAATAGGAGTGGGGTTAGATTTATTTAAAGGTGTTTCATCCATTGAAGAAGCAAGAGGGGATCTGCATTTGATGGTTGAAGAACTGAAGGATTTGAGTTTGTTATTAGACGCTGATGAAAAAGAATTTGTGAAAATGCATGATATAGTTCGTGATGTTTGTCTGTTGATCGCATCAAAGGAGGAGAATATATTCATGAGCAAGCTTTGCAAGGATTTGAGGCAGTTGGAAAGGAAAAAAAGCTGGACACAATATACAACAATCTCCTTGTTGGAAAACAAACTAAAAGAGCTTTCTATTAGACTGGAATGTCCTAAGCTTAAAATATTGCTATTGGGTGGTGAAAAACAATGGTTATACAACTATGACAAGTCTAAGTTGTTGAAAGTTTCAGATGAATGTTTCGAAGAGATGAAAGCACTAGAAGTTGTAAGTTTAAGATATGCAGACCTTTCATTGAAATCACTTCAATTCTTGACAAATCTCAAGACTCTAGAGTTGTTTGGTTGTAATTTGAGAGACATTTCTTTCCTTGCCAAGCTGAACAAACTTGAGATTCTTAGCTTTAGACATTGTCATTTTGACGAATTACCAATAGAATTGAGTGAACTTAAGGAACTAAGAATGTTGGATTTACGTGGGTGTTCTGAGCTAAGAAGAATTCCTTCCAATTTGATACGAAGCTTTTCTCAATTAGAAGAATTATACATGGAGGAGGACATCTTTGAAGAAAGGGAGGTTGAAGAGAAGAGTATAGAAACAGGCAATGCTAGGCTTTCAGAGGTAAATTATCTACCTTGCTTGGCTGTTCTGTATTTGAAAATACATTCAAAATGCCTTCCAAAAGACTTTGCTTTCTCCAAACTTTCAAGATATCAAATTCGTGTGAACGGAAGTATTCATAGATATTCAAAATCATCAAAAGCTTTAATAATTGCTGATATTGATGCAACCTTATTGACTGCATTATTTAAAGCACTATATCATAGTGTAGAATGTCTTAGTTTGGGAAGAGTAACAGGTTGTCAAAATATCCTCCCAAGCATTGACCAAAAGGGATTGAAGAAGTTGAATACCCTTGAGGTTAGCCATTGTGAAGACTTGAAATGCATGATAGATGCATCGCAACTGGAGGAAGAAAATTCTGAGTTCCATCCAAGTTTAGCAAGGTTAGTGCTGTCATTCTTACCAGAATTGCAGTGTATATGGAAGGGGCCCATGTCCATTCATATTGTAAACTTCCAAAGTCTTACGGATGTTTATGTGGGATTCTGCACAAGCTTGGCTTATCTTTTCACTTTATCAATTGCCCGAAGTTTGGGGCAGTTGAAGTCACTCAGTGTTGAAGGTTGTGAGAGTTTGGAGTTCCTGATCAAGATAGAAGAGGGTGATAATGGCAGGGGAGAGAAAATGTTGTCGAAATTAGAAGATCTCCAAATTGAACAATGCTCGAGATTGGAATATGTTTTTCCAGTGTTTGTTGCAGCAGGTCTTATACAACTTAAAAATCTTGAAATAAGAGATGCACCAGAGTTGAAGCAAATATTTCATGGAAAAGAAGAAAATGAAATTGCAGAGGAAGGAAAGGACATCAAGTTGCCTAATTTAAAAAAGCTAAAGCTTAACAAACTTGAAAAGCTTACCAGATTCTTTCCAGAAAATAATCATTCAACTCTCCCAGCTTTGGAAGAGTTCCAGATGAAGGAATGTCCGAATTTGACAATTAAAGAGGGAGTTCTAGAAGAGGTATGTTTTTAATTTTTATTTTTAGCTCAATACAAATTATTGTCACTTTCTTTTTTTTGGCCTAAAATGGACGAACATGCTTGAATTTGACCAACATTAAAAAAATAAAAAATCAACATGCATAAATTTCAATAATTATTTTATTTTCTTTATGATAAATATGGAAAGAAAAAAGTTTTATTGGTTAAACAAAAGATTTTACAATAGATAGTACTTTAAGTGAGATATCAACAATGAAAAATTATCTATTAGACCTTTAGAATGATCATTTAGCTATACATTATTTTAGAATTTCTTATAATTATGATATAATTTTTCATTACAATTTGAATTAATGATTTTATTGCTTTATAATTTATAATTTATAATTTTTGTATACTTTGTGAGTAATTTTAATTTATTTTTTAAAAAGAACTAATTTAAATTTATAAAATTACTTTGCCCTTATATAAAATTAAATTTAACTCTAATTAACTTTTTGTTAATTAGAGTTAAATTTTGAAGTTTATTTATAAAATTTTGTTATTGTTATTGTTATTATTATTATTATTATTCTTTCATTTCACTATAAAAAAAATAGAGAAAGATTTGCTTAATTATTATAATCTGGTGGATCTAATAAATTTTGATAAGATCAAAATGATTTGTTTTTCCTAGAAATTGTGTGTTCAGAGGTTGGGTTAATTGAAATTATCTTTGTGATTTACAAAGTTAAATTAATAAAATTATAAGAGGGAAATTAGCATTTTCTTTATTATTAATGTTATCATTTTTGAGAAATTATTTAATTTTAGTTTCAATAATAAAATAACAGATTTTGTTTATTGTTTTATTAGTTGTTGGGGTGATGTCATGGATCTCATAAATTTTTTGTAAGACATCTAACTGATTGTTTTTCTCAGGGACTGCGGATTGTGGAGATAAGCAATAATCAATTATGTAATGGAATTCTCTCTAGGTTGAGAGGTGGCTTCTTCCAAAATTTTGAAGAATTAAGGATAACAAATTGTGGAGTAAAAGAGGTATTTCAGATGGAAGGACAACAACATGAATTATCACTTCCAAAATTAAAGAGTTTGGAGTTGAATCATCTGGAAGAACTAGACAGTTTTTGTAAAGGTCCTGCTCATGTTCTAAGGTTTGAGAATCTTACAACTTTAAAAATAAGTGGCTGCAAAAAGTTGAAGCATATCTTCTCATGTACTCTTGCTCTGAGCTTGGGTCAATTGGAATCCGTTGAAGTAAAAGATTGTGAGAATTTGGAACAAGTATTTTATTTGGATCATGAAAGAGAAGAAAATGTAGGTGGAGGAGATCATAAGAACATCATGCTTCCAAAATTGAAGAAATTACATCTACAAGGACTTGGAAAGCTAGTAAGCTTTTTTCCAGAAAAATATGATGCATGTTATCGAGCTTTGGTAGAGTTCAAAGTAGAAGACTGTTCCAAATTAACTACAACTTTCATTGTTAAAAAGGTATGTTAAATCTTTATCTATTAGGCCTTTATTATCTGGATAGATATTTTATGCATGATAACCTTGTTGAAGAGTTAATAATATTCAATCATAATAGTTAGTAGTAATTAGATAGATATTCTATAGACATTATTAAAAAATTGTTAAAATTTAAGTTTACCAATTACCATCTCCCTTGACGGAATATATCACCAGCATAGATTTATGTCTAACCTCTCAACTGAAGTCACAATAAACAATTTAAAAATGGTCATTTACCATTCTTTTAATTATAATCTAAAATTCATTAAATTAATTAAAGATTGAAAAAAAAAAAAAAAGATAACATAATTGTTTTAATAATAATATACAAACTCATCATACAAACTGATGCGTTTAAATGTGATTGGATGATTTTAGATTAGAGATAAACTTAACAAATTAGAAGAAATGATGTGTCAAACATACAAGATTACCGTATCATTATATATAATTAGTTTGTACATGTATTATTACTTTAATTGTTTATTCTTTATCAAGTCTAGCCTAGGCTAAAGTTTGCCCATGAGATTGAGCTGTATGATTTATTATTTAATAAAATTCTTCCAAGTTTAATAAAATTTATTCACCAATAACATATCAAACCATTCACTTAAAATTATAAATGAATCTACTTTGTTATTATTCATTTTACTTTCAGCTAATTTGATTTTTTAGTGAATTAAATAAAAATATATAAAAGATTTTCTTACATTTTTTTAATAGTTGGTAGTACGGTGTAGTCTAATGGCATTAATGTATCTAATAAACTTTTTATAACATTATTGTGCAGTCTCCGAATCTGCAGGTTGTATGGATGAGAAATTGCAGTAGTCAATTGTACAATGAAATTTTCTCTAGGTTGAGATATGGCTTCTTCAAAAAAATCAAAGAATTAAACGTTGAAGTAAAAGAGGTATTTCAGTTAACACAACTAGAACATGAAATGTCATTCTCAAATTTGAAGAATTTGACCTCTTTAACAATAACCCACTTCAACAAGCTCAAACATATCTTCACACCAATTGTTGCTCAAAGTCATCTGTTGCAATTGAAACGGCTATGCATCACAGAATGTGCGGAATTGGAGCAAATCATTGATGTTAAAGATGGTGAAGAAGTTGGAGCAAATCTTCTCCAAACTCTATCATCTATTTATGTGGAAAAGTGCCATAAATTAAGAAATCTGTTTCCTATCTCCATAGCTCGGGGTTTTCAACAACTGGCATACCTACACGTAATTGATAACTCTGAATTGGAGCAAATCATTGATGTTAAAGATGGTGAAGAAGTTGGAGCAAATCTTCTCCAAACTCTATCATTTATTAGAGTGGAAAAGTGCCATAAATTAAAAAATCTGTTTCCTATCTCCATAGCTCGGGGTTTTCAACAACTGGAAATCCTACACGTAATCGATAACTCTGAATTAGAAGAAATATTTGGAGATAATGATGTGATTGATGAGAAAGAAATCCAGTTGCCTCGACTTCAGAATATAGTCCTAAGAGATTTAGCAAGCCTCACCAACTTTTGCCATGTGGATTATCACTTCATATTTCCAAGACTTAATCACTTGACAGTCGGACGTTGTCCGAAGAGAAGTACAAGATTTTCATGGGATGAAGATAATGACAGTGTGCATGCGGAAGCAAAGGTACTTCCATTTTTTAATTAAAGATTTAAAGTCAAAAGGATCTGGTCATTATTCTTCACAATAAGGAACTTCTTTTCATACATGTTTTCTGTATTGCCACAAAAAGCTTAATATTACTACCTTTGCATTTGATGCTTCCAATGTCTGGCTTTGCAGGCGCCCATAATAGGTAGCACCGAAGATGATAGTCATCAAGAGCAGGCACCCAAAATAGGTAGCCAAGATGATAGTCATCAAGAGCAGGCATCTGAAATGGGCAGTGAAGATGATATTCATGAAGAGCAGGCATCTGAAATGGGCAGTGAAGATGATAGTCATGAAGAGACTTCTACATATCTCTCTTGCTATAAAGATTTTCGAATATTACCTCGGTACATAAAAAATGAAGAGGTTTATTCCAATTCTCATCCAACGAAATGAAGAAAAGAACATTGAAACTTAGAAACATGCTCATCAGTTCTGATCAGGTAATTGAATTTATTATTCTACACATTGAATTTGTTTGAAGAGGCTCCAACATAAATGTACTTGTAATTAATTATATTTCTTTTGATGGTTTTTCAGTTGGCTCCACCTAATCCAATGAAGATTACTCTGTTTGAAGGGAAGCAGAAGAAAATTCAATTTGACGAATTTTCTAAACTGCACTTGTTATATATATTTGTTCTGTTTTAAGTCCAATATCAATTCACTTATGTGAATTTTCTAATGGATTATTGACAGAGTTTATGTTTGGGTTAGTAACCGATGTATTTTGTATAATTTAGGGTGAAGTTGATTAATCTGGTGATTAATTGTTATAATCTAGTGGATCTAATCGGTACTTCTGCTGCTACAATTAACTCAACTTTGTACTTCACCTCTTCAGGACTTCTGCTGCTACAATCTTTTCAATATCTATTGCTTCGTTTTACTCCTGCTGCAAATTCTCTATTACACATCTTCTACTATTGCTGTAACTTGTTCTTTACCTTCACTAATTACTTGGCCTTTCAAATACTGAGAAGATGGTATAACAATAGGTTTACTTTTTAAGAACTCAAACTGGCTTGCCAGTTGCCACCAATGGTTTTGTAAAGATGTCAACATTTTGCACTTCACTATGAACATACTAAATTCTTATCAAATTTGCTACAACTTGCTCTCTTACATAATGTGTACCAATCTCAATATGTTTTGTTTATATTCTGCCTCAATCTCAATAGGTTCTACAAAGCTCTATATTCTGCCATTACTTTTCTGTTTTCTACAACTCCATTGCACTAAATTAGGACTAAGAAAAACATAGCATCCACTTGTAGATCTTCTATCTTGTACACAACTTGCCCAACTATATTAGCATAGCACTCCAACTGCATAGTACTTGCTGGATTGAACTGAATGCCATAAAATAAGGTACCCTTTAAGTACCTAAGTACTCTTTGCAGGCCTGCCACTGGAACTGAGTTGGTTGCTTAAGAAATTGACTTAGTTTATCACTAAGAAAGCAATGTCAGGCTTGGTTAAGGTTAAGTATTGAAGAGCACCTACTGTGCTTCTATATAAGGCAAGTGTGTCAAACTCATCACTATCTACAGCAGCAAGTTGAATTCCCAAAGCCATTTGACTGTAGCTTTCCAGTCCACTTTAGAAGATCTTTGGCATATTTAGCGATTGAGATGAATGCCATTACTATTTTGAAAAGCTTCTAAACTAACAATAAGCTATTGAATTCACAAAACAAAGATATTTTTCGGAACAAAGATTATGAAATGTTAGTCTCCCCCAACTTTTCTCTTCAACAATACAGTTGATGTTTAATTCATAATAGACATTGAAGATATCTTCTTTTTCTTCATTTTTTTTAGGGAAAAGAAACAAGAAATTGAAAAACACCAATTGGCGAGAACTGGACTTGGAATTGAGCCACCTTTAACTTAGGATTCGGAACAACAGAGCATCACACCTAATGTATACAGAACTGAGCCCAATGTAACTTTCTAGATAAACCAAGTGCATATCATAACTATTGTAGAATTAACCTTCACCACTTTATTTCAATCCACAACAAAACAATAAGTGGCGGCTAAAAGCCCAGATAAGTAGGGATATTAAGGCAAGTAAAAGCAAGTCCTACATAACTGTTTATATCCTGATCAAAACTGTCACAAAATTAACATACAGCTAAGGCAAATTATTTCTGAAGTTTCCCAAATAATCAATTGCCACTGTTACACTCAGATGTTACCCTCATAGCGTTTAGGCCAATTCTGTGGATTTCGACCCTCTGCCAATGAGAACAACAGAGAATGAAGTGCAGAACATGAGAATTGAACAACTCTAACTCAAATCGACAAAAGTACTCCATGAAAACAAACTCCTCACCAACAACACAATACAAAACCACATATTAACAATTAGTGCTTAAAAGCATATTCAACACCACGGATCACTATACTACCACCATCACCAACATCACAGAACAACCCTTTGCCGGATTATACATTTATCACATTTAAGTTCTTATAAGGTTATGGTGGTTTCAGCACTAATTAACAATTAGACTCTAAAAACACTAAAAATTAACAACAAAATTCTCCACTTTATCAAATCCAACACCAAGAAAAATGCTAGCAGAACATTAAATCAGGCAATTTCATACTAATCCACGAAAGCAAAAACCAAACTAACATTAATAAAAATCCCACTAACCTTAGTAGTCAACTTATAATCTCCTCTCTTCCACTTGCCACTCCTCAAATACCGATCACTCTCACACAACCTCCTCAACACAGCCAAAGTCAACCCAACTGCCAAATCCGCCACGTCATCAGTCAACACATCAGGAGTGTTTGTGACTCTTATTCCCTTCTCTTTACACTTCCCCAAGTCAACTTTGTCAAGCCCCACGCTGAAACTCGTCGCGATCTCAAGCTTTGGCAAAGCTTCTATCAGTTCAGCCTCAGCGCCGGCCGCGGCATTCCCGACAACTCCTGGTCCTCACTGAAGCTTCCCATGCTCCCGGGGCAAAGAAACAACATCGATGATGGCGGTTGATCATCAAGCCACTCCTTGATCTCTGCTATTGAGATGGATCCACCTGATCCTCGATCAATCTCATCACCCTCTAAATTCAAAATGGGTCCCGGTGTATACAAAGGTGGGGTGTTGTTCAACTTACCATCAGAGAAAGACTCGACCGCATAGGATTCCAACTCCTTGAATGTATTTACAATAATGCGCTCTGCTTCTCTAAACCCCCCTCGCTTGTTGAAACATAACAGTAGTCCACTCTCTCTGTGAACACGATAGGCAAATTCCTAACAGGAAACGGCTTAACGAGACTCGGGACATTCAACTCAGTGACCGAGTCTTTCAACTCAGTGACCGAGTCTTTCAACTCAGTGATGGGCTGGTTTTGCTCATCACAAAGAACTTGCAAGTGTAACTGCATACTAAGAAAAGCTGCACTGGAGGTGTAGAAAATGCAGCTAGGAACTCCAAATCATTCGCAACTTCAATCATGTCCGCACAGAACATATCGAGAACAAACCCGGCGAGTCGAGGTGAGCCACCAGAGGCTGACTTCGTCTGAATTAGCTTAGTGACTGCTTCTTTGACGAGAGGTTAATGGCTTTTGACGAACGAATCCATGAAGCTTATGCGAGAAAATGATTTTGAAGGGGAAAGATTGACTTCTGGGAGTTGAATGATTTTGAAGTTCGGGTTGAGTGGAGAGAGAGAGAGAGTGAATGAAGGTACACGGGGACTTTAGTGTCTAAGGGGAGCTGCATGACGAGGACGGTGATGGAGAGGAGGTGGTCACAGTCACTGACAGACCAGGATTTTTGCCCAGTGGGCCTCCGCGGTTCTCCTTTCTCGAAAACTTAAAAAAATTCACTAAACGTGAAAACTTAAATAATATTACTAAACCTTAACTAAAAAAAAAAGGTCCAATATCAATCATCTACAGGAAATAATGCAATAACGTAAGAGTTTACTTGACTAAATTGTTTAGAAGTAAAATTTTAAGTAAATTATGTTAAAATTAATATTTAATTTATAAAAAAATATAAAAAAAATTTACATAAAAAAATATTTTTAATTAAAGAGAGCAAAGTATCATAGAAATTTAACGATTCATTTAAATTCAGTATAATTAAAAGAGTTTACAATAATCATAATGCACAAAAAATATTCTACGCAAATTTCTTATTTCTCCTTTTTTTCTTCTTTTAATTTTTTTTTTTTGTTTTTAATGATTATAATATAAATTCTCATGACTTTTATCAGATTTAGCCTAGCTAAAGTTAACCAAAACTTAAATTAAGCCAACGTTGTCTTAACTTTTAATATGAATTAATAAAAAAAGAGAAAAATTTTCTTAGTATAAATATAGATAATAACTCAAACTACTTTCATAATTTTGAACAGTTAAACAGTAACGTTGGAAATATAGGAAAGTGGTGGGTGAAGGGTGAAGAATAATGTTCAGTAAAATATAATTAATGTTTATTTTGAGAAAGTAAGAACATTCTTAAACACAAAACACAAAACAAACTCATAAGATCTATGTTATTTTCCATTAAATTAGGATAAAAAATGTCAAAAAAATAAGCATAATTCAACCTTAAAATAAACTAAAATGAAATCAGTAATACATATATCTAAAACTGATAAAACAGAAAACGAAACTAATTGTGGTACTTTAATTAGTAAAAACTTTAACAATTTCAGTTTTTTAAAATTTTAAGAACGAATAATATAAAGAAAGTGAAAGAGAAAATGAAAGAGTAAAGAATTTTCATGATAAAATTATAAAAAACAGATAAACATAGAGAAGAATAAAACGAGTTTTAAACTTTTAATATGATATGTCTAAAATATATATATTTATAGAAAATTTTCCATGAACTTTAATATATATATATATATATAATATATATATATATATATATATAATATTTTTTATTTTTTAAAAATCCGGTAAAGTTAGATATATACATTAATAGAATTTTTTTATATGCTTATATAAATAATTTTTTTTTTTTAAAAATGTGAGGAGATGCTTGGTTCTACCCTACAAGGGGCTGGGTCTGCCCCTGGTCACAGTGGACCAGGAGCTTTGCCATCTCCACCATCGTTACAACGTGGCCGACGCCCGATAAGGGATCAACACTAGCTCAGTTTTCTTCATCCTTTTGTTCTGCACTTTCGTTTACCAACAAAGTTGATGGGAAGTTATATACAGGACAAGTGGCTGATGAAGATGATGATATAATTAATTAATTACTATGCCAATTTGTGAGAAAAATATTTATTTAATAATAAAGGAATAAAAAAGGGAGTCTGGTCGCCGCCGGCTTAGGTGTGACGGGCGAGATCTCGCTTGTAAATCAAATTAATTTTCTGAAAGTTATCATCCCGACTGTCCAAGTGTCCATATCTGAAGGCCTTGAGTTATTATTGTGCGTGCCCGTCATTGGGCGAGTGGGGGGTGAACTCAGTAACTGACTCATCATAAATGTAGTGTTGTTTAATGGTTCAGTTATCATTGTAGTGCTCTTTGATTATTTGTTTGATAGTGTCGGCGGATGTGTGGAAACCAACGTGAGAGTGAGACACATCATTGGTGTACCATAGAAAAAGACTTTAATATCCTTTGTCTTATACTACTTTATTTTCTTATTTTATTTCATTCAATTTTTGTTTTTAATTAGGAATAATACTATCTTTACATCACCTTGTACACCATTTCTTTTATTTCATGATGTGTCATCTTATATGGTATATGCAATCTCAGCCGGGTATTATTTGGTTTGCAAATTTAGGATAGAAGAATTTTGGGGCCGATTTAAATTTGGGGAATTCTAGGTCTATTAGGTTTAGTATATTTTATTATCCTATTCATACTATTTTTAAAGAAAAATGTTATTCTTACAAAGACCTATACAAAAAGGGTTACCAAGTGACGTGGGAGAGA